CTGTTTTTGTGGCACATGCCTAATGAGGGTGTCATGTGGCCATCACAACAACCAATTGCCCTTACTTTCCACCAACTAATGTCATGTCTCATTAGAGTTGGGTGGACTTAGGGGCAATATAAAAATCCAGAAATTCAAAATCAGTCTCTACTAGGATTTGAACGCAAGACTTAATCACTCAACCACTGCACCTAAGTCTTGATGAATACATCATAATAAATATATTTAGTGAAAAGTTTATTTTACTAACATGTAACAGGATTCAAATAGGCACACATTTGTATTGACATTTAATGTTAATTGTAATGAAGCTTTTTGTATATTTAAATGTAAATCAGTGTTAATTAGATCCTTTGATATTCCTTTCATTCCGAAAAGAAATTTAATTTTATTAAAATACAAGAATTATGAAAAATGCATCATTATTTGTTTTATCTTTTTTTTTTCAGAATATTAAACAAGAAATTATGTAAGTTTCTCTTCAATTTTTCAGCTAAATTTTAGGACATTGAGTTAAAAAATAAGGAAAGAAATCTAATTATAAAATTAGGTTCTATACTAATCTAACTTATCGAACCTAAGACAGTTAAATTACCTTTTAACTTTCTTAATTCACCAGCCTGTCATCTATTATAAAAAAATTAAAGTTTCCCTTTCAGACTTTGTGGTCTATTTGGGCAGATGATGTAAAAGTCATCTGTTTCTGTGGCCTATGGTTAACGAGGGTGTCATGTGGCCAGCACAACGACCAACTGTCTTTACTTTTCCCCAATTTATGTCAGGTGCCTATTAGAGCTGGGTGGACTCAGAGGTGCCCAAATATCTCGAAATTAAAAATCCCAGTCTTTGTAATAGACACATTAAAAACAACAGGAGTCTCAATTAACCCATTGATTTATTAGTCTTTTATTCATCTTCTTTAGCATCTTGTTGTGATTCTGACCCATTTTTACACAGCCATAGAAGAAGACTAATAAATTAATGTGTAAATTTATACTCTTGTTGTTTTTACTGTGTCTATTACAGTCTTCACCAGGATTTGATTCTGGGACCCCCGGTTCAGAAGCCAAAGTAATTTTACCGCTCAGCCACCATGCCTCCTCATCTATTATACTGGTAGTTTAACTTGTAGGAAGAAATATGACAATTTAATGATGCAGACGTGCTGTTTGAGTTCTTGTAACTATAATTTTAACCACTCTTTATTTATACTACGGGGAACCAATACAAAATGTAGAATTTGTTATACACATGTTTTAAACTTTCTACTGTCTATAAGTATGTGATTAAATATTGAAAGATTATAAATAATATTTTTTTTTACATTTTATTATAGTTAGATTTATTAAAAGAATAAGTTATCCTTTGAGATTTAAATGTCCAAAGGGCAAATGATGTACATTTGTTGTTGTGGTAAAACAAATGGCTTTCAAATTGAGGGTCTTAAGTTTGAATCCCAGTAAAAGCCTACATACGTCTAGTAAGCACCAAATTTATTGATTGTCGTTAGAGTTGAGAATAATTTCACTTGAAACTCAAGGTAAATAGATGCTACCTCTACTAGCCCCTTGGGGTGTGGATTATGACAGGCTGTTAGGGGGCTATCATCTACCCTCCCTCTCCCTTGTGCAATGAACAAATATGGCACATCAAGGGGGGTTCTGTTTAACTTCCCTATTGGCCTATTTGTCTCCTCTCACAAGTGTTTTCACCTAGACAACATGTTAACCATCAGAAGTGTTGCCTAACACTTGTATTAGAAATCAAGATAAAAGACAGCAGTTTGTTTTGGCGTCAAGAAACTTCTCTGACTTATAGAATAGACACAGAAAGGATAGGAAATCCTCCTATCTAGCAGAAATGTGGCTTACACACTGTAATTACTATGATACATTTAATATATATTTTTAAAAATTTCTTTGCAGGGGAGAGTAATCTATCCTTGTACAATAATCTAAATGGACTTGTCAGTCATACTTACTTGTCTGCTGCTAAAGATATCAACAACTGTGGACAGATGCTTACAAAATCTCACGCTCAAATCCAGGTATTTTATTTCCTCTTTATACCAGGATTCAGTGTTGTATAAGAGCTGTATATTTGTTTAAAGTAAACACATATTGTAATTAACGTTTCCCTATCAGACCATGAGGCAGATGATGTTAAGGTAATCTATTTCTTTGGTCAACTGTTAATGAGCAGGGTGTCATGTGGCCAGCACAACGACCAACCGCATTTACTTTCCCCAACTGAAGTCAGGTACCCATTAGAGTTGGGTGGTCTCAGGGGTGCCCTTAAAATCCTGAAATGGAAAATCCCAGTCAAACCCAAGACCTCCAGGTTTTGAAGCCAAGCGTTTAACCATTCACCCACTGCGCCCCCTATATTTGTTTAAAGCATGTATTTAAAAATTAATCAGCAGCTTTCTGTGTCAATTTGAATTTGCTTTAGATAAAAATGTATTGCTCTAAATAAGTTCTATTTCGTGTAGTTTATACACAATCATCCAATTCTGGGCATGACATCTTTTGAACACTTTACTAATGCCATTCACAATGGACCTCATTCACCAATCATAAACAAACAACATTTAGTCACGTGATCATATTGATAAAACAATGAAAAAAACTGTCACGTGACAGCCATCATGAATTAAACATGAGATTGTAAATTATATAGAAGAGATAGAGCACCACTTGGCTAAATGTTTGTTTACTGTTGGTGAATGAGGTCCATTATCATTAGGCAAGGGAAGTAACTGCTATGAACCAAACATTTACATTAAACTAATTTGTGACTAATGGACCTGATATAAGCTGCCAAACATTTGTAAGATGTTGACTATACCCTTCACCTATCCCTTAATATGTTCAAGCATTGGGACTCCACACAAGATCTGTCAACCATCCTCCATTTCTCTCTGTCCTTTGCCTTGGATAGAATTTCATTGTTTATTCTTTGATCTTGTCTTCCCATCGCTTTTTCTCTGTATAACCTTGGAATTTTTTTACATATAATATCAGCCTGTTGCAGGTGATGCCCTCTAGAATGTTTAAAGGAGCATTACATTGTTTGATGATTTATCTAACCATCTTCAATGATCTGCTAAAAATTGTCACAGATTTTATTTGACAGTTCTCACTATCAATGAGACCTATGCTTCTTAAAGTAACATAACAACTAAAGAAATGTTGAAAGCAATTTTTTTTTAGAGTTCTTCAGACTTAATCCAATGAAATAAATACTCCAGCTATGGAACAATATTTACATCAAACACAAATCACTTGTATAAATCATATTATTAAAGTAGCTTGACTGACAAAAGACTATCAGTATTAAACAAAGCACAGTGAAAAAAGCTGAATGACTACTGAACAATGACTGTGATGATTACTGACCAACAAATGCAATATCTTGAATTGTTTTCCTTTCATAGTTTCATATAAAAACTATTCTACATGTTTTAAGTTATTCTTGACCTTTGAACTTTCCCTTTTTCTGTCCCCTACCCTCTTATCTCTTCAAGGACTTCAAGGCTTTTCAATCCTCCTAAAACATGCCAAAAAAAAAAAAAAGACCCATTTCTTGACCAGGCTGTACAAGCTTGAAGCCTTGATGTGCAGTGAAGAATGACAGATATCATGTCTAGTAACTTGTTAAAATACTTCCTCTTCCACTCACCTTCCTTTTTTTCTGGTGAGCTGTAGTGTCTTTTGCAGTCTGTCTCTTGGAAAAACAGCTTGATTTTCATTTCAGCTGCTTCCCATGCCAAAAAGGGTGTAAGTTTTATTATTTTTTTCCCACTGCCATAAAGGGTGTAAGTTTTATTATTTTTTTCCCACTGCCATAAAGGGTGTAAGTTTTTTTCCCAATGCCATAAAGGGTGTAAGTTTTTTTTTTTCCAATGCCATAAAGTGTGTAAGGTTGTTTTTTTTCCCCAATGCCATAAAGGGTGTAAGTTTTATGTATTTTTTTCCCCAATACCATAAAGGGTGTAAGTTTTATTTTTTTTTTTCCCACTGCCATAAAGGGTGTTAGTTTTATTAGTTTGTAAGGTAGTAAGTTCTGCTTGAAGTGGACTAAAGAATATTTTTCATATGAGTGGGAGCTATGTCTGCAGTGAGATACCTGTAATGCTCTCTTTTTAGTTGGGAATTTAAAGCTGTGTATCTGGGTGTTTCCTCACCCTAAGGTCAATGTTAGTCAACAATCACAAAAAGGAGTGGCTCAACCAATGGACAACAGGAAACACAAGCAGAGCCATGTACAAAGAAATGAACATGCCTAACAAACTGGACAGTATTAACTTCCTCCCCCGCAAAGAGCAATCTACAATCTTCCAACTAAGGACAGGACACACACCTCTGTTAAATTATCATCTCAATAAAATAAATTCCACACAACTCCCCCTTTGTAGACACTGCGCCCACCCTTATGAAACCGTAAACCATATCCTTTTTAAATGCCCCTACCTAACCCACCTTAGGCAGACCCTACTACTGCTACAGCCCAACATAACCAACACCCTATAAGGCAGTGCTGAACAACTGAAGAAAACAGCACACTATTTTTCCTTGGCACACTCTGCAAAAAGCTGGCTAGAAAAAGAAGAAGAAAGCTGTATGTCCTGGTCAAAGTTGGAAGATTATTTTATTAGTGTGGAGGAAGCTGGTATGTTTAGTTTATTGGGCATGGTCATTTTTCTTTGAATGCCTTGGCTTCTCAACGTCTGTTAGATGAGCCTCTCTTCGTAGGGATTGCTGGTAAAATTTAAACTGTTTGTCAATGAGTTTTAGCCGGTAATTATTTTGCTGTATTTTCTTATCTATTTTGTTTGTTGTGCATTAGGTAAGATATATTATTTAAAACTTGTTAATTTTTCATCAGGATGTTTCCCATCACATGAGATTAATGACCAATGATTTATTCAACTTGCAAGATGCCATTGACATCATAACAACGTGTACAATTTTGCCAAACCTAAAAATTCCTGACAAGACTCCGACAGCTAGTGCCAAGTCCGAGCCCAGTCCACATTTGGATAGTCCTGTGACCACATCATCATCATTATTAACCTTAGCCCAAGAACCGCAACCATAATCGTTGTGGTGTTTGTTGAGATTGTATTTAAGTTTCCAACCCGTCTTTCATTTAAGTGGAAATAAAAAGAGGAAGAATGAACAGCGCCATGTATGCTACATTCTATTTGTTTTACAAATTGTTCTAATGAAATAATTGTATAAATGTACAAGACTGTAAAGTCTTGGACAGTAAGATTGCAATGTTTGCATCCAATGCTTGTGAAGATTTTTTTTTTTAAGTACATTGTATTGTTCATTAACTTTACAATAACTTTTAGTATATTGTATTGTTCATTAATTTTCCAATAACTTTTAGTATATGAAACAAATATCTTAGTATTTCCAATTCTTGTTCTGTATTAATCTAACAATGTTGTATGCATGGTGTTGTTATACATGGGATGGTTATTGAATTATATGTTGATGTGATGATATTTCTATACATTTGTTATAAAAATCTACTATTTAGTTGTGATAGAATTACTTATCTTGGACCTGTTTATTGGAAATATAAAATGTGTTAATTTTGAAAGTTTTCATTTTATTGAAAGATTTATTCATTTAAATTTCAAGAACTTCCTCTGACCACTATTTAGACATGTCAAAAATTGGTTTGCAAACATTTGTTGGTTACAAGCTGTGTGGTATGCGTTCTATACTGTTATTTGGTGGTATTAAAAGTCCAGGGTTAGATCCCTGCCTCTTCCTGTCCTGTGGGAATTTTGGGTTAGAATGTAATTATCTGAAGGAACATCAGAAATATGTACATTTTACTTTAAGGTGTCAGTATATTATGATTGATTGATTTATAGGTTTCCAATGTGCCCTGATTTCCTGCAGGCAGGGCTGGAACTGGGACCATAGTAACAACAGTCCAAAGTGCATACCATACAACCAGGCAGCAAGTTAGGTTTTTTACTAAGTCTATTCCATGATTTTAACAAAATTAAGATACTTTCTTTACATCTTTTAAAAAATATTAGACTTTACTATAATTACAAATGGTCTTTTCCAGAAGTTCTTTAAGATGTTTATGACCAGTTTCATTAGGAAAGTGAATTGAAATACCATTACAGTAAAATATCTATTTCACTAAGGTCCTGCGATCCCAGGCCACCATTAATAAAAATATGGGCAGCCCTCGACAAACAAGGTATAGCAATTGAAATATAATGATGAAGATGGTATTAGCTTTAAAAGCATTGAAACACATCTCTCAGTAGCACATTTTTAGTCGACTCATTTCAAAGTGACTTTGTATCCTTTAAACATAAGATAAAATGGCTGTCAGTACCGCTAATAAGTAAAATATCTAATGAGTGTCATGTTGTGTATCGAGGTTGCCACAAATATAGACAGAAAGTCTTTTTAGTAGCTTTGAGTTTCTACACAGAAAGTAAATAATGGTTTCTGGTACCAGTACCACAAAATTAGAGAACTTTTTAATTTTTAAGTTTGGGAAAACCTATAAATAGAAGAGATTAGCTTAAACCAGGCTAAACAAATTTCAAGCTTCATGTCAAGTCTACGTTTGTGAATCTAATATAGAATTTGAAACTATTACTGCTTGATATATAGTGTGTGTTCAATCTTTTCATTTCTACTTGAAGGATTAAATTATTTTATTTCACAAAGAGAAATTCTGTTATTTATTTAACCAAATATGGCACACAATCAGATATTGGGCCTACAGATTTATTAATTTCTGAAGACACTAACAACACTTCCTACCATTGTAACAATAAGCCAGTATGCCATCAACTTGGCAGTTTATTGAATACTAAGCACATCAGCCAGCCTTCAAGTTTAAAAAAAAACTGTAGATGTAATTGGAGGCTGAGGAGTAAAGCCGTTAGCTTCTAAACTGGAGTTCAAATCTTTGTTAAGACTGGGATTTTGAAATTCGGGATCTTTAGGGCACCTCTGAGTCCACCCAGCTCTAATGGATACCTAGCATTTTGGGGAAAAGTAAAAACAGCTGGTCATTGTACTGGCCACATGACACCCTCATTAACTGTGGGCAACAGGAACAGACCTTTACATCATCTGCCCTAAAGATCACAAAGTCTGAAAGGGGATACTTTACTTTTTTTACTTTGTAAATGTAATTAAGAGAGTGACATTATGTAATAAGTTTGATAAATATTCTCCATATCTCGAATTTATATAGGCCAGGATATACATTTTGAAAGCAACCAGTTCAGTTCCATTCACTAACTTTTAACAAGGTAAGACCCAAGATCTCAAGGAATCATAAGCTCAAAGAGAAAACAGAAATTGCATGATTCTCAACACGTACAGACATTTATTGATTTCTTATTGTATTTTCTTGCTGTTCATCTCTAAAACTTAAAGTGTCCCATTTCTTGGTCACTCAGAATATTCACTGAACATACCAATGCATTAAAAAAAAAAAAAGAAAACAATGTGTGTGCGTTATGAGTAACCATTTTATGAATTAGACTTGACATAGTCTCACCCAACCAAAAAATGTTCCTCTATGCAAAATGTAAACGAGATTTATCTTTTCCTTTTGGAGGCTTTGACAGGCTCCTCCTTCTCAACTTTTATTTTCACTTCTCTCACTGGTTCCTGTTTGTCCACAACTTGAAGCTGGTCCAGGAAGTCCCTGCTGAGACCAAACTTCTCCAGGTCACTCTGAATCTCAGACAACACTTCTGCTTTCTTCTCAAACAATTTTTTTTTCTCAGCTTCAAATTTTTCCTGGATTAAAAAAAAAATTTATTATAATTAACGTTCAAATAATATAAAGATACAAAAAAAAATAATTTATTGACAATTAACTAATCAGTATCGGTAGAAACAACTCTTCAGAAAACTTTTTGCAATTATGAATAATACAGAGCCCTGAATGAGGAGACCACTACTTTTCATATTCTTGTAACCCTATTCGCGACGCAATAGGGTTAACTGTGTGTGATCAGCTGACATATGTGACACAGGCCAGTAATACAGTTTAGCATGCTATATCGAAGTGCAAGGGACAGTACTGGCATGTACTTTGCACGTCAATAGGACCCGGGTTATTGTCATCTGATCATAAACCTGCGTGGACCAGAGACACAGTGTGTGTAAGGCAGTGCAGTTCAAGACAGGACAGCGAGTAGACTGGGACTGTTAGTCTGCCATGAAGTTGGTCCTGGTGGAGTCCTGAAGTCAATGTAAGAGTCCAGGAAGAGATAGAGACAGTAGAGTTTATTAGTTTAGTACGGTGATGTACAGTATAGCATTTTTAGTGTTGATGTATTGCCAATTGTGTCATATTGGCTGTTTTAATTGGCCATTATTAAAGCACCAGATAATTTGGAGCCTTGTCATCAAGTTCTTGATGTGTTGTATGTTTAGCAGTGTTTACAGAAGGCATGATTAGGAGAGAATCGTAACAATATGCTGTTATAAAATTTAGAAAAGATTACATTCTACTTGTGCCCTTATGTCAATCTAGTCATGACATACTCTGCCTAGTTGTTGGTTTTCCTGGCTGATTCAGGCAACTCATTCCATTCTCTAACAGCAGTAGCGAAAAAAGATTATTTGTACAAATTAGTCCTAGCAATATGGAACAAGGAATGTGCTCTAAAAATAGTCTCAGCATGTCGCTTGTCACAAAAGAAAGAATAGCGACAGAACAAGACAAACATGCATGGCATGCAGATATGACTAAGCGACAGGTCTAAAAAAATTACAGTACAAGGCAACCATTCACCAAAGATTTTGATGAAGAAAATAGAGAAATTTTGAACTTATATTGTTCTTCAAGTAAAAATTGTTTAGTTTGATATTGAATAGTTAGATTATGTTGCGTAGGTTTGAGTTACTTTCATTTTGTACTGGAAAATTAATAACAGAATTATTTAGTGACTTGATGTAGACTGTAAAAATAGAAATGGAATTAACCATGATGAAATCTTGTTATTACTGCTAGAGCGTTGTAGCATTCACATCTTTTATTTACTGCTTAGGGGTCGACCTGTTACCTTTTCTTTTAGAATTACTGAAGTATTTATTATTGCAATTAGAGCTTTGCAGCAACAGTTTACAACATTAGAAGGATGCCCACATTGTTATCGATTAAACTTCTTCATATTTATACAGCTGTTCCCAACTTATTTCTTTAAGGTATTCTATTGAAGATGAGGAGCTGCATGCTAAATATGTTCAGTGATAAACGGCATCATAGACACTTCAACACCAACAATGTGATTTAAAAATAGTTACTAGAATTTTGTTTTGGTAAAACATTTTCAAATTTGTGTTCTCTTACTTTTAATTTCTCTAGTTTTTCTCTTTGTTTAGCTACGGCCTCGCTCTGTGTGCTCATTCTTAAGTTGTATTTCCACCCTTTGAACTCTTCGCGATCTTTTGGGAGCACAAACTGTATCTTCAATTCTCTCAGTAGCCACTCAAATCTCTCGTGGTCTAACTCTCTTAGCCGAGTTAATAGTCGCCTCCTCCGAAAGATGCGCTTGAGCAGAAAAATCTTATTCCCTTTGTCCTTGTGAATGGAAAAACAAAATTAATTTACAAAATCAGATATTTATGCAAATAAAATGTAACCAAAAATTTATTTAGTTCTTGAGATACAAATTTGAACAGAATAGTGATATTTGAACTCATACAACTGATGGTCTTGAACTTAAGAAGGATTACAACATCCAAGAATTACACTAACTATCTAGTTATGTGAGCCCAGTTCTATAAGAATGTATCAATTCTCCAATTTCAAAGTTATTTTTGACACTGTGACTAATCATTCTGTTGCTTTTTTATGATATTCTTATTCATGTGGTTTTTATTTAAACCATATAAGGGGAACACACTCTTGTTTAACATATATTTGAAGTTCCTTCAGAGTTCAACATTATTGCATCCTAAACGAAAAATTCAGCAGGATACGATGGCAGAGGGCAGGGTTAAAACCCAGGACTACTGGGACAACATTCCAGAGTACATGCCACACAACAAGGCACCTATCCTTTAACCAAAACCACAGCCTAAGACATAATAATATTCCATTTTGAGTCAAAACTAGTAATGAATTTATTTTATTTCTATTGAACAAAAAGATGTTGAGATGGATCCAGAGTCTAGAAGCAGAAAAGGATTTTTTTTTTTTAGAAAAAATGTTTCCAATTTCACCCAGTCCAATGGATGCTGAACATTTATTTTAGTATGAAAACTAGCATTTTGATTTGTTGACCAAATTGTCTTAAAATTGAGAATTTTTCTTTTTTGTCCCACTGGTTCCTATGAGGTGTAATAGTAAGTCATGTGTATGTTTAGATCATAAAGGCAAATACAAGGGACTACAAACAAGGGCATTCACATAAATAGGCATGGTGGTAAAGTGCTTGGCTTTCAAAATCAGGGATCTTGAGTTCAAATCCTGGTGAAGACTGAGATTTTGAGCTTCTGGATTTTTTGGGATGCCCTAAAGACCATCCTACTCTAATCGGTACCTGGCTTACATTGGAGAAGTAAGGCAGTTGGTCATTGTGCTGGCCACATAACATCCTTGTTAACTGTTGGCCAAAGAAACAGATGAGCTTTACATCATCTGTCCCCACATATCACAAGGTCTAAAAGG